GGAATTTGGCTGGCAGTGGTGCTGCTGCTCTACAGCGAGGCCTGGAGTGGGCGAGAGGAGGTAGAGTAGTATATCATTCGGCGCAATGAGTAGCCGGGGAATTTTCCTGGCAGTGGTGCTGCTGCTCTACCGAGAGGGTTAACGTGGGCAGTGGTGCTGCTGCTCTACTGCGAGGCCTGGAGTAGGCGAGAGGAGGTAGAGTATCATATCATTCGGTGCAATGAGTAGCCGGGGAATTTGCCTGGCAGTGGTGCTGCTGCTCTACCGAGAGGGTGAACGTGGGCAGAGTGTGGAGGTGGTGATAACGAAGGAGAAGCTGAGGGTGAGGGAGAAGACATCCATGGCTATGGCGGTAGGAGACAAGAGATGGATTGTAGTAGTACGTTGTCCTCTGAACATCTGTGCTAGGCATGGATGATGTGCCATAGCCAGTTGCACTAAGATGAGGAGCGGGGGGGGAGAGAGAGGGAGCTAAGGGAGAGCTCCGAGAGGACTGACAGTAAGGGATCATTCGGACATTGATTCTTGTTCGTTTATTCATTTGTTATTATATTTAATTGTTAGTGATAGGAGACGGCCATTATGTGAGGGTGGATGACGATGGCAAGAGGAGGAAAATGACACTTTCTTCTTCTTCTTCTTCTTCTTCTTCTTCTTCTGGTCGGGATGGCGGTTGGTCCGGGCACGGACAGCCCTGCGGAAGGGTCAGGGGCGGGATGTCGGGTGATGGCGGCTGTCCTCGGCCTGCGTACCCCTGCTCCTTCCCGTCTCAGATTTGTCCAGACCTCCTTTCCATCCCGGCCTCGACCTCGGCTTCGTGCGGAGCTCGTGGCTTGTTTGGGGGTCGAGGGTCGTGGTACAGGCTAGGGGCGGGGTGTGTTGCGGGGTCGCCAGCGAACACAATTCCCTCCATCAACAAAGATATACCAAAAACCCTCCCTCCGCTCCCCTCTCTGATTCATAGCTGCAGATGTCCTCTTCTCTTCCCCGACCGCTCTCACAAGAACAAAATTCGATTCATTCCTTCAACAACGAAATAAAAAACCCTCCTCTTCTTTCCCTAAACCTCATTCCCCTCCCGCCCCCGCCCCCCCCACTTCTTCTTCTTCTTCTTCTTCTTCCTGATCTGAGTTGTGTTGAATGATATTGTCTTTAAAGTCGACTCTTGCTTTATGAATTTGACGGGATCATACTGTCTGACATCGATTCCTGTCACGAGCAGTGAAGGAGACAATCCCCTCCCTCCATTGACCCTCCTTCCTCAACCCTTCATTGCTAGTCATGCCACCAGAAAAAGGGATAACATTTATGGGTTCATCATTTTTGAAAGAAGTTTTGAAAATGGTTTTGCTTCCGTTTGTTCTTTTGATGCTTTGCACTCCCATGGAGCTTGCAGGAATTGCAACTGGTGAAGGAAGAGCTGGCAGAAATTGTGGTTTCTACTAAACGTGAGGAATTCTTGTCCGACTTTCAACACATCAGCCCCTTTCCTTGACTATTGACGTATAGTTAGCAAATCTGTCCGGTCTGGCCTGCAGTGTGAGCACATCGTCCGATCCATGGATTGCAGCCTGTAGGACCACGAAGTCACAATCATTTTTTTTTTGTAACAGATTATTTCTGTAATGTTATGATCCCACTGCCTTCATAATGCATAAACTCAATTGCAAGACAATGCAAGCCTTGCTGAACTCAAAAGACGAAGTGCAGAGAGATAAAGAGCGGAATAGAGTGGCGAGAGTAGTAG